ACCAGGGGAAATAGCATGCTGGAAATGCTCTTAACGGTAAAAAAAATTAAAAATTTTGGGATGCACCATGTGGCGCTTTGTAGCACGTGATATTTTAAAATATTTATAAAAAAATTTAATGGCCAAAATTAATCTAACTCTAAAAACATACCAAAAAATTCAAGCTCACACTTAAAAAGTTGTAAACATTTAAAATTAAACATGCCAAAATATAATAAATAAAACACAAGTAGATATTGTTATTGTTGATGTGGAGGATAAAATAATCTACGACGATAATCACATTTGGAGGATAAAACAAAGAAAATATTAAAAAATATATTTGTGAATAGTAATCACCATTGCCCTTGCCTTTTCTCCTTTAAATGGGTGGACTTGTACAAAGGTAATTACGGTTGAGAGTGAACAGTAAAGGCAATGAAACAGCTTGCCCTCCAAAAATGGGTGAAGATGCTCTTTGTGACGACCTGTCCCTAATTTTCCATGTAATTTTCTTCCCAAGTGTGCAAAATAACATTTATGCCCTTATTGGCAAAGTGGAACCTAACGTGGACGTAGTTATTCAACTTTTAATTTATTTTTTCTATTATTGTAATTAAATAGTACTCATTGTTCCGAATACGTGAGTGCGAGTTAGACCCGAATCGGATTTGTAACGAAGAAATTAGGCTTAGTTAAAGTGCGTTAAAAATGGGTAGAATTGTACACGTGCATGTTAATTATTTAGTGCTAGAAATACTATTTTTGATAAGGTGAGCCGGATTGTGTATTTTTATATTGCACAAAATTTGATCTTTTTCCCTCTTTAAAGATTTGTCCCGTGACCACACTTCACTACCAGTCAGCTTTTCTCACATTTCTTCTCGCCAATCACTTCACTTCCCTCACTTTTCTAACCAATCAGAAATTGTCTCCTTCTTTCTCTTTCTTCTCATTCTCTCCTTCACGTCGAGCTTCATCCCTCTGCAACAACTAAGGCCCAACATCAAATCTCACATATCGGACCTCAAACCACCACCATCGTACTTCTCTCATCCCCATGAGTCCATCCGTACAAACCGATCCTAAAATGGTTGATTTTTGAGCTTCCAACTCAGAGCAACTCGGACCTCCGACTCGGGGGTGGAATCTCTGACGATTCTCAGTTCGTGTTACAAGGTTTTGGGAGATTTGGAAGCACATACTCAACTCCCCATGCCCACTAACCTAAGTTGGAAGTCAAGCTAACGTGTAGAAGCACGGTTTTGGGATGTTGGAGTTAGGGCTGAGAGTTTGGAGACAATTTTAGTCCATTTCCGTCCACCTTTTGGGCTTTTAAGAGGTGCAAACTTGTTCTCCTCTTCTTGAGCTTCATTTCCATATAAAGTACGTCGAAAATAATTGAGAATTGAGAAAGTTAGAAGTTTTAAAAAATTTCCAAAAATCCTGCAATTTTTTCCAAAATCCGGCGAACCAAATGGCGGCGGAGCTCTATCAGAGAATAAGGAGGAATATGCCATTAGGCTAATAGAATATTATGACGCCGTTAAGGTATTTAACTGACGTTAGATTTAATAGAATATTCTGTCAAATCTAACGAAATATTCCCTCGGGTTTCTGCCAATGCGTGCAGGCGTGTGGGCGCGATTTGGCGGCGCTTGAGGGCACTTGAGACCTCACGGCAGTGCGTGGTAGACGTGTACGGGTTCGTGACGTCGTGTAGAATGTTTTCATATATTTAAACCCTCTGTTTGAGCAAACTATAGGGGATTTTCCTAGCCTTTTAGTGTACGTCCTAATTAATTAATTAGTATAGTTGTTTCTCATATAGGAGAGAATTACCGTGAGGAGGTACGTGGACAAGCAAGGCTAGGAGACTACGATCCGACTACATATCAGTGACTGGGCATTTGTTTTTATAGATAATATATATAAAGTTTTATAGTTTCCACAAATGCTTTTGGATTTATATTATGCCTATCATGCCATGATTCATTTAATTTAAAAAAAATATATGCTATTACGACATTGAGATTTATATATTGCCATGGCATGTTTATATACATTATACTTGCTCATCATATATACTTGCACTAGTGTAGAACTAGCCCCAGGCTAAGACCAGGCTTTACATGTACGTTCACATCGCACCGCACACTCACCTTGGATCCATTGTAGGTGCCAGTCATGTCCTAGGTTGCAATAGGCAACTAGGACTCGTATGTTATGCGCCTAGCGCCAATCTTCACATGATTGTAATACTAGAGCGTATATTATGATTACACCCAGTCCTGTTCATGGCAGAACTTATCTGCATGAACTCGTGTGTTAGCATAGATTGATGAGCACCTGATTTTCTTATGCTACGGTTGAGATATTATGATTGACGTATTTATGGAATTATTGCTGATATGCATTTAATTTCATACTTATATGTAGTATGATTTTCTGGAAGCTATACATATTTTACGGCGAGGGGTTAGTATGTTCAAAAAAATAAATGTGTTTTATAAACCTTTGTTTTTGCCCACTCACCCTTCTGTTTTTCTCCCCTCTAGGACTTAGTTAGCTGAAATTCTCTGTGGCACACGAGGGATCTCTGGCGGTTCTGATATTTCCATAAATAAATGTAGGGGTTTACTTCTGGTTGTGTAATAAGTACCTTAACTAAGTTCGACTGCTCTACTTATGTTGTACTGTCATCTGTGTTCTGAACACTTGTGTTTTATGAGTTCTTTCCACTACTGCGCACTTTCTGTATTAGTTTAAATAATGTTAGCTTTGGTTTAAATTGATCCATATTTTTATGCATCACTTTCCTTTTTGGTTACGTCACATTCTAGTGTCAGCCAGCATACCTCGACTCCGGTCAAGATGTGTCACTCTTACGTGAGGAAAATTATTGAATCAAATTCAAGAGTGGCATATAGATATATGTCAAATTCGTAAAAACCATCTGCAAACATGTTGACTTCTCTAAAGATAATTAATCGTTTTGTTCAAAAAAATAAAATAAAATTATTAATCGTGTAATATAAAATTTATCGCCTCCAATAAATTCTAAATATTCTTGATGGCGAAAGAAATATATTTAAATATTCTTGATGACGAAACAAATTTGTCACAGAATATATATCTCAATTTTTGTTTTATGTATTAAAATTTTGGAGTCGCCTTCATTATCAACCTTTGCAAAACGCATTTGTGTTGCCCATTATTTGCACAGCTCTATGTAAGATGTAGCTTCAACCTGCACGAAGGAAGAAATTCCTACCTGAAAAAATAAACTTCTCCCTTCTTGTTTTTTATTTTTATTTTTATTTTTATTTTTATCAAATCAAATAACATATTTAATTAAGGTCCTGCAGTTGGGTCCTACACCAAGTTTATTTCTTTTAAGACTTTGTAATTTTCTAATTTTAGGACGAAAATAAAGGACGTCTTACTTTATTTTTAGTGATTTTCAATGCTGTTTTAATCAGTATCTTGTTGTCAATTTAAGAATCCCATCCTGCATATGATTTATTTTTAGTCTTTTAATTATGTTTCAAACGAGATAATTTTCGGGAGTTCAAGTGGTTTTTTTAGGGTGAGTTTAAAATTAACGGATCTAATCCATGTATTTTTCCAAACATAACCACAAATTTGGCGATAAATTCTTTAATTGATAGTCTGAAACTATGTAATTTTCCAAACATAACCACAAAAACAGATAAAAAAAAGAGATCTAAGAAATATTTGATGACAAAATTAAACTAAAAAACGATCACAAAATTGTTTGATTTGATTAGGTTAAACTGAACTAAATCGAACAATTAATGTTGTTACATCGATTTAGGTGTGTAGAAGCCTAAACCGATCGAACCAACACGACCACCCTAGTTTCATTTATATGGACCAAAAACAAAAAAATAAAAGGAAAAATCACAGCCAAATTATGATTTGGTTTATGTAATTGACATGTGTTGCTTTGAACAAAATATTTCCAATTATTTAATTTGACTTCTAGTTTAATGAACGTTGCATTTCAAGGAAGATAACTTAATTTCATCAGTTTTTAACGAAAACAGCACAAAAGTGGCATATGTGAGCATATGATTGACTCTTAAGAAGTGTAAAACATCTCCCCAATCCCCACATTGCCTAAATGTGCTCATTTTGTAAACAAAATTTTGAAAGAAGTAAGTGTTTTGTCCTTGTAATATTGCAACAACTACTAAACTATGACGAATGGATTGCGATAATTCAAACTACAAAAAATCGTAGTGAAACTTTGTCCAATGTACGTGAATTGAATTTTTGACGTACCTTACTTGTAGTGGCCCTTTTTTTAAGTATCTTATTTAGTTTTGTCTCTTAATATTTTTTTATTTATTCAATATAAAATTTTAAAATAAACAAAAATATGCGAAAATAACTAAAAAGGATTTGAAATCGCTCATTTTTATTTTATTTTTTTATAATTATATCATGTTGTGGCCTATTGTGGTAAATAATTAAGATTGAAGTGAGATCCATGTTTCCATTGTTTTCTGTGCCTTCAAAATTTTATTTTCGTTTAAATAATTTCGGGGCAAAATTAAAAAGGAGTAGCTATTTTTGTAGATAACGACAAACAGCCTTCCTCTTGTAGCCGCCGGGAAATACAAATTCCTAGTTCAAAAAATTAAACGCGTACTTTTCTTGCTTTATCGTTTTCAAATTCTGACCGTCCATTGTTTCCCTAGGTCAAGCAACATCCATTATTGCCCGTACACGTGTCCCCTCCCACTGACCCCCCCGATGCTTTCGGTACTCTAATTAGCGCCAAATTCCACTCGCGTCGCTCTCACAGAATATAACCTAAAGCTCCTCCAGATCCAACGGCTGGCCACCACTCCTCACTCTCCCACCCAATCGTGAGCGTCCAACCGAAATTTTAATGAAACCGTCCGATTGCCTGTCGCTCTCATCCAGCCCTCCATTATTTAGGAAATTCAATTTCAAAAAACAACGAGGGGGAGTGAAAGAGAAAAAGACCAAAAGCTCGAAAGCTGCTCTATCTTCCCAACTCTTCCGATTATCTTTAGTCTCTGAAAATCTCTGATCCGATTCGAGATTTTCAGCAGCTTTTTTTATTTCAAAATTTTATGGCTGCTTTTTCGGTACTGGAAATCGCCGCCGAATCACCGCCGTCGGTCCGCGACGGTCTCCGGTGACGATTGAGCTCCGAAACGACACCGTTTATCCGTTACCGATGGTGTGCGCGGTGGAATTATTTCTCGAAGGATTTTGATAATTTGTGTTTTGGAAATTAAATGCGAATTTGGGAGGCTGATTGTGCATGTTGGCGTTTGGATTCATTGGAGATTAATGGAGCAGAGCGAAACGGTCTCCGAGGTGGCGCCGAAGAAATTGGCGAGGCAATTGGATTTCACGACGGTGTACCGAGCGTCGGCGAGCGCGGCGTTGACGGACGTACAGCTACAGCTACAGACACCGTCACAGGCGCAGCAGCAGCCACAAATCTCACCGGCAAGACCGCAGTTGCATTTGCATTTACAGTCGCCGCAGCCTGCGGCAGTTCAGTCGTCGAAGCAGTTAACGCCGCCGCCGCCGATTCCGCAGTTTCAGGCTCGGCGGAGTCCGGCGCCACCCGCAAACGTTCGGATTCCGCACCCGGTGCATAAGCTTTCGCAAGTGAGGTAAATTTCTATGAATTTTGATCATATCTGGAGTTACGGAGTTGAATTTCAAGTTTATATGGTGGATTTTGGTATTGAATATTGGCTTTGATGAGATAGGCTTTGATGTAGAGCTAAAATTTATGATATTTATCGTAGGAAAACAGTGCAAAATTGGTAATTGTATGCTTGGATGGTAAAATGTGGTTGCTTTGGGAGTGTGCATTTTACATTTATGGGAAATTTTGTTAAATTTTTCAGATATGTTATTGATATTGGTAATGTCATTGATAAATTGTCGAAAAAACAATAATTTCCAACTATTGTAATCATAGAGAGGTGGAAGCTCTGCTTTTGAGAATCTATTTGACGTTCTGCTTTGGTTGTGAGATTTGTTGTATTATACTTCTCTTGACCTTTGTGTGCATGTGTGTCTCTTCAGAAAACAAGACTCTCCTGTATCACGCCAACGTGGCGATGAAAAAGATTGTACTCCAAAAAAGCAGAAGCAGTGCAATTGTAAAAACTCTCGGTGCCTGAAGTTGTAAGGACATTTCCTCCTCTTCGTAATTTTTAGCATTAGAATGAAAATGCTCCATTTGTGATTTGTATTTGTTTTTGGAATCTTGTCAATTTGAAACTTGGATACCTAAAACCCCTTTGTGAGTGATGTTTTCACTTCACATCTGCTGAGTGAGATATTCGCACTTTTGGTCCTGAGCACTTCAGCTCACCTTTTGCATATCTTGTCAATTCTCCATTACATTAAAACCTTGAAATTCATTTTAACCCTTTCATGTAGAGTTTCTGTTAACATGTTTTTACAAGCGAAAATGCCCAAGTACTTTATAGTGGAAACACAGCTCATGGTCCATTAACATGTAAACAAAGTAACAAACAGATTTTCTCAATGATGCTTAACTTTGCTTACGTGAAGCTGCAAGCTTGAATGTAATTCTCTGTGGATTTCATTCCATATGCATATTGGAACAAGATAATTTGTGGAATTAATGGAAATCCACTTTAAGTTAAGTTACTATTGATTGTCAGCTTTCTTTTCTAGTACTTTAATTATATAGTTTTAAAGTAGCCCTATGTATGTCAGTATGTGGCTCATCGTCTCTTCTGCTTCCCCCACATTCTTTTTACCACCTAAAGTCAGGACTTGATAATCTTGTAGGTACTGTGAGTGCTTTGCAGCTGGAATTTATTGTGATGGTTGCAACTGCTCAAATTGTCACAATAATGTGAACAATGAAGCTGCTAGGCAAGACGCAAGGGGAGCAATTTTAGAGCGTAATCCAAATGCTTTCCAACCAAAGATTGCTAGCAGCCCACAAGAATCTCGTGATGGTAGGGTATGTAATCTGACTCATATATTGCTTCATCTACGCCCTTGGATTGACTTTTACCAAGTTCTTAGTGGAGACCAAACAAGGAGGTGCAAGCATAGTGACACTTAATTTCTAGTCTAGTTATTGATGTTCTCATTAGATTGCATTTGGTAATTCAGGTCAGTGTACATTAACAGTTTCTTATAACAAATTCAGGAAGATGCTAGGGAAATTCAAGCAGCTGGAAAGCACAACAAAGGATGCCATTGTAAGAAATCAGGCTGCCTCAAGAAGTATTGTGAGTGCTTCCAAGCCAATATTCTATGCTCTGAAAATTGTAAATGCATGGACTGCAAGAACTTTGAAGGAAGTGAAGAGAGAAGAGCTCTCTATCATGACGGCCACAATACCGCGGCCTACATGCAACAGGCTAATGCAGCCATTAGTGGGGCCATTGGAACCTCTGGTTATGGGACCCCTCTGGTGTCCAGAAAAAGAAAAGGGTATGAACTTTATTTTACAACTGGAAATCAATCCACTCATCCGATTGCACAACCTCAACAGGTACATTTTTCTTCAATTACTTGAATACATCTTTGTTAGGTTTTGGGTAGTTGTGTGTTTGGCGTTATGAATATTTTGATACGGTGTTCTTGTCAGGCTTCAAAAAGTCCAGTTTTGCCATTATTAATACTTGAATGACCATAAGTTCACATTAGCTCATGAAGGCTAAGATAATGATCATTATTCTACACAAAATGCTGCTGAATAGGGCAATCCCTTCCAGATTAAATTCGGATCGAGTTCCTTACTTTTTCTTCCTTCCTATCATTCCATCTATTTCTTAAGCAACGGGCTTCATATTAACCTTATTTCAGGAAAATCATCTAAGACCTCACATGGCCTCTTCTTCTCAGTTGTCTGTTCCTATTTTTCATGCTGCTAATGCAGCTGTATCAAGACCTTCAAAAACCACTACATACAGGTGTGCTAATTTTCTTAACATTGCTAATTTAAAAGTTTACTTTATTTTCCTTCAAAATATTGTAATACTAATCATCATGTTTCATGACTGAAGATCTCCATTGGCAGACATCATCCAACCAAAGAATGTAAAGGATCTGTGCTCACGTTTGGTTGTAGTTGCAGGAGTAGCTGCTAAGGCACTTGCAGGTTTTGGTTCTATACATGAGTCAATTAGATTCCTTTCTTCTCTTGCTGATACCTGTGCATCTAATATCACTTTTAAGTTTTTAGCTCTCTTTTCTTTTTCCCTTGTTTAAAAGATTTTAAGGACACCGTAAGCTAGAACCCTACTGGCCTCAAAAGTAGGTGGATTTACAATGGGTTCTCCCAAAGTAACAAATTTTTATCTAATCAGTTGACTGAAAAGGCTATTATTCCAAGGCATGGAACTCTGTTGGTTTTGGGAAGTCACAATTCTATTAAGTTTGGTTTCAGTAAACTTGATTTCCAACTAAAACTCCCTTCATAGGTTTTAAAAGAAAACGAACAAGAGGCTGTTTCTAAAGGGCCCAAGAAAAAGGAGCTCATCTCCTCATGGTTATTGACCAAAATCAAGTACATGTTTTTTCTCTTGTATTTTCGTTCTCCTCCCCGACTTCTGCTTATTTCGGACTAATCAATAGATTTCTAGTTTAATTTTGATTTCCCTGGGGAGGAAAACTTGCTGTTTAGCTGGTAGCCAAAGAAGCATCTAAAAGATCTTTTTCTCCCCCCTTTTGAGTTGCTAGATGGATATTAGATATTCTCCATTTACCATATGGCTTTTCAAATATGTGATTCGGTTTAGGATTTGCTAATTTAATATGTGCAGGAAATATGCAAGGAGAGACAATCAATACTAGTACCACTTCATCCACTCAAGAGGGGGAAGAACATAAAATGGAACATAATAAGCAGCACGACGACCAATTAGGAGTGAACCAAGCAGATAGAGAAGCAAGTACCTTTTCTGGATCAAATGGAGGTGATGTGCAAAATAGTAGGCCAATGTCCCCTGTAACTCTTGCCCTGATGTGTGATGAACAAGATAAGATGTTTATGGAAGCTGGATTGCCAAAGTGTGCGGGAACTGATGATCCAAGTATGCCTCAGAAGCCAGCTCAGGAAATAGGTTTCACAGAGATTTACGCGGAACAGGAAAGGCTTGTCCTGACCGGGTTCAGGGATTTCCTTAACCATCTTATTACGCGGGGGAGCATAAAAGGTGAACTTCTTCAAGTTACAATTCTAACCTTATAATTGTCGAAACACAGAATGCCCATGTGCTTTGTGAATATTGTTGGGAACTTAATACCATGAGAACAACCTAAAAGAAAGATCAGTTTGGCTTTATTCGTATAATTTTCTACCTGTTCCGAGCATTGTGATAAATTGGATGATCATGTCTTCTGTTACTGTAACTAGCAGACCGCAGTTCTAGAGTGAATATGCATTTTGTCATTGATATAAATGGGTTTTCGTTATGTTGAGTTCCCTACATCATCATGTTCTATTTTGTGACCGTTAATTGATCGTGTTCTTCATTCATGCATCCAGCTAATCTAACAAAAGTGAGTCCTTGTCGTTGATTTTTGCAGAAACAATGTGTTCTCCCCAAGCCAAAACGGAGAGGTTAAGCCAGAAAGAATCCGTACAGGTTGGAACAGCAAAACCAAACACTGAACCTGGCTACCAGAAAGAGGTCTACAGCAACGGCATTGTGAAATCTCCACTTTCATCAGCAAACGGTAAAATTCTTCAGTCAGTAACAACAGTCACTTCTGGTGACAATGATCTCACTCTAAAGGTTGGATTGCCCACTGAGAAATAATAACGAGCACTAAAAGCAATACCGGTTGTAACTTAGGATTAGAAGTAGTTCAAATGGTACCACCGTGCCTCTTTCGAGACACTTTGGCTTGATTTCGTGCCACATCAGTCGATCTTTAGGTCTCGCAGTTAGAAAAAAGGAACTTTGAGAAACTAATGAGAGCTAGACCCTTTTTCTCTTGGTGCATAAATTAATTCTCGAAGGAGCTGCTTTCAGTTTCGTTATGCATTTATGCTGTGTACGATAAAAGTGCTTTTCTTTTGCTTCCCGGTTTTGGAAATTTCAATACAGAACTGTTCAAATTTTACAATGATTGTTGTTTATAACCGTTGGATCTCGTTGAATGGCTGGGATTGAAAACCTGGGACTTGGAGCTAGAAAAAGCCTATCCCAGGAAAGCACTTTTCCAAAAAGCCATCCTATTCGACAGTACGATTAGTCGATTACCGTATTGGCGGAGCTTCCTTGCATCTTCCTTAAACTGTATTTTCGTTCTGATTGGTTTGTTTGCCTGAACGTTGCTTCCTACTGCTTTCATTTTTTGTTTTATTTTTCGTTCAAACAAAATTTGGCTCCATTAGGGTTCATCACCGCAAGGAGTCAAGCACATGAACTCAATCGGATCAGAAAATTTCTGTTTGGATGCTGGGAAATTTGAGAAAAGGATGTAAATACCAAATTAGTTTATTTAATTCACCGATTTGTAAAGAACTTGTAGCTTAAGCGATGTAGAGCATTTACTATTGTTATTATGTTTTTGATACTTCACTCCCCCATTATCGTTTGGCCGTATTAAACAAAACCATTGGACGACCATTCTTGCATACGTTATCTTCTGGGGAGGATTATGGAGCGTCAATGATTGTATATAATATTGTGTTTATTTCTCTCATCACGTTACACATATATACCTAAGAGGATCCTCGTTGGATCCTTCAATCACATCTGTTCATCGTAAATCGTACGGTCATAAATCATTGTAAATTTTTTTTATTTTAAATTAAATATAAACATAAAAACTGATCGCACTATATACAATAATATAATTAGAATCCTCATCTATCCTCTCTATCCTCTCTCCATATACATATAACGAATGATAGGACAGATTTCCGACCAGTAAAACAAAAGTACAACTCTGGCACGCAAGTGTAAAGAAAGAAAGACTGATTCCAGACGACTCTGAAATTAAAATAAACAGATCAATTAACCCAAATGGCTTTCATCGTCATCCCAAAATTTTCTCAGCTGCCAATCACATCGATAAAGAAAATTTGGATACGATGAAACCATCGCACGCCCAAAAGGTTTTCATCGTTTGTACTAAATTATATTGTTTAATAATAATAATGTTAATTTAATAATAATAATATTCGTTTCTGGAGGAAAAGGAAGCTGCATCATGAGGGCCCACTCACTCATTGCTGCTCGTCAACAACCTCTGCAATCCAGGTCACCAAGCACCAGGCTATCACAATTGGGACCTTCTCCGTCCCACACGTGTCTCCCCGTACCTACCTCCCCGCCAAAACTGTCCTATAAATGCCGGACCAAGTCACACGCCAGAAGCAGCAGATCAAAACTCAGTGACTGTGAAGTGAGCGAAATGGACGCTCAGAAGCTTCGCTCGGAGTTCCTCCAAGTTCTGCGCAGCAGACGATCGGGCGAAGGTGAGTGAATTTGTAAACGTTTATTTGCTTAATTTTCTGTTTGGCTGGTGAGAAAATTTGAGGGAATCGGTGGAAAATGTCGAATTGAATACTTGCCTATTTGGTAACGTTTTGGATTACTTTCAGTTCCAATGTTGGTTGAGCCGGCGAAACCGGTGGCGAATCCGTTGTTTCAGGAGGCTAATCCCGCAAGCTTCAGTGAGGTTCGAATCTGATTCCAATTTGGAAATGCTTTTCTCACGCAAGTCTAATTTTTAATAAAAGCATCTAGAAATCACTTATTGCTTCGCGAAGAAAAAGCACATTCAAAGGATATGCCAAATATAGTGCGTCAAAATTTTATTTAATAACTGATGTGATAAATTGAATACAAGTGTTAAGTCTTCTTATTTTCCAATGAACGTAGTAAATATTTATTTTATTATTTTATTAACCTTAAAGTTACAATAACTATTAAAAAATAATTAAAATTAGTTTTAGTTTGTATTCTAGTTGTTAATGGGACTCATGTATTAAAAAATTAAATTAAATATATTTGACTTTTTTGTTTGCTATCAAAAAAGCTAGCTACAAAGTAAGAAGTCAAATGACTCACATGCTAAGTCATATATAGCATATTTATTGGAGAACACTTGAATGTCTTTTAATCCTATTTGGCATATTTGACATCTTTTTTGGAGATGGTCTTTAACTCTTTTTTTTTTTTTTTTTTCAAATGTTATTAGAAACACTTCTGGTAATCTGAAGGTACTTTTTAGTTATTCAAAGCACTTCCAAACATGCCCATATGTGTTGAAAGTTGGAACTTGAAAGTTGTGATTTTGACAATTCCAAATTGTTGAATTTATGGTGTTTTGTGTTTTGCTTGCTAGGCAATGAACGCTTGTCCGAAAGCCAGCATCCCCGATTTCAAGGATAAGCTGCAAGAAGAAAACCTTTACTTAATTACTGAGGTAGTTGGTTTAAGTCTAAATAATCAAATTTCTCAAATTATTATCGTTTAAGTAAGTTTCGGATTGGAGTTTTATGGTGGGGAATAATGTTCTTATTATCGTAAACGATAGGCAGGAGAGCAAGGGCGGTTGCCCGTGTTAATTTTGAGCATGAAGGAAAGTTGTACCCAGAAAAGGCCTGCTGTTGTCTTTCTGCATAGTACAAACAAGAACAAAGAATGGTTAAGACCATTGCTTGAGGTACCTAATCTTTTTGTGCGATCTTTCAATTACAATTTACACTCAGTTAGAACGAGAATTCTCATGTTTGTATTGTTTTTCAGGCCTATGCTTCAAGGGGATACGTAGCAATTGCCATTGATTCCCGCTACCATGGCGAACGTGCCAGAAATATCTCCACGTACCAAGTTGTATGTATATTTTTCCACGTTTACTTCGTTGTAATTATGTGATTTTGGCCTGTGGTTTGGTAAAAGAACAATCTAGATGCTGTTTTCAAGTTTTTTGGTGTATGAATCTCCTCATAGATGAAAGTGTCGGGTAAGTACCTATTGTGTGCTGTGCTGTGGTAGTGTGAGTTCTAGACTAGTACTTCACCTGGTTTTCTCAAGAAGACGTGAACCGATCTTAGATTGAGCAAGGCGTCCTACTCAGGTTTAAGCTAGTAAGCATTCCTATGCCATACAATACAAACTGATCCGGGGATTTATTCGCATGCAGGCTCTCGTATCAGCATGGGAAAGAGGTGATACAATGCCATTCTTATTTGATACGGTAACTCCACTTGTTTTTGTGTGAGTAAGATGGTTACTCAACTGGTACATTGAAGTAGGAAAATTGATAAGTGGAAATGTAGTTCGTCATTGGAAATTGTTATCTGATGATTGTGAGTGAGTGAAATGAATTTCATTATCGCAGGTCTGGGACTTGATAAAATTGGCAGATTATTTAACACAGAGGGAGGATATAGACCCTACTAGGGTAGGAATCACCGGTGAATCACTTGGAGGTTTGTGATGGAAAATTTTATGAGACGGAAACTTGAGAATACATTACCTCTTTCTGTGCAACTCCAAAGTCATCTTGTTATTTTCCGATGCAGGGATGCATGCATGGTTTGCTGCTGCTGCTGACACCCGTTATGCAGTAGTGGTTCCTATAATTGGTGTTCAGGTGCTGCATCTAATATCATTAGTTATAAGTTCACCTCTTGTGATTCTAAATTTCTAACTCTGCAACTATATCTGCAGGGATTTCGATGGGCCATAGACAACGATAAGTGGCAGGCTCGAGTTGACAGTATAAAACTTGTTTTTGAGGGTAAGAGAAGTAGAAGATTGAAGGGTAAATTACATTTTAACACCCCCCTTCTTAGATTTGGGGTCGATTTCAATTTCTTACAACATCTTTAAAACATTTCACTTTTATTTCAATATGATACATCCGTTACATTTTCTATCCATTGGTCTGTTAAGAGCTGACATGGCTGCTACATTTGTGCTGACGTGGCTGTCACATTTGTGCCACGTGGTTAAACATTTAATAAAATATTAAAATAATTATTTAAAGAAAGGTTCAAAAAAAAAAAAAAAAAAACTCAAATCTCCTTCTTCCCCATAATCCCTACTCGTGCCCAGCCTCCCACCCCCCATCACCCACCCCTTCTCCCACCCCTCAACACTCTTTCTCTCGCACCACTCTCTCTCCCTCAGCCAACACCTTCACCTCATTTTTCTTATGCGACAAGGTCGTTCCCGCTCCTTTCCCAAATAGTTTCCTACCTAGCGCGGCTAAATTCGAACCCAACCTTTAGCCTGCTTTTTCAATCCGCTCGCGATCAGATCCGACGGAATCACCAGCCCCGTCGGGTTAATCGGCTTGGCCTTGGAAGTCGACCGCTTTTCCATGAACTTTTTCACCATCGTGGAGATATTGGGATCCAGGGGCTTGTATTGGACGACGGCGAGTGAGGAAATGGGGAGCTTAAGCTCTGTGGAAGACGACGGGTTGGAGAAGTGCGAGGAGGTCAAGGAACGCACATCGTACGAGCTGTACCGCGACGAGGGCTTCATTGTAAGCTAAAAACTTACTCTTCTGCTCTACTAGGTTTCTGAGGAAGAAGGAGGGACTGAGCAACTACTATTGTTGTGCCATTTGGATGAGTTTTTGAAAAGAAGAGGAAGGGAGCAGAGTCACACGTGGCTCTGTCAGCACCAGGTGTTTTGCCGCTGCTCTGCTAGGTTTGGAGAAAAACGAACCCCAAACGTCGATTCGACGAGCTCCGACACGGAGCTACTTTGCCGGTATACTGGGGAAAGAGCTTTGCGGGGAGGTTCTCGTAGGAGATGGAGGCGCAGTGGGGAGGGAAGTGGCTGTGGGTGATGGGGGATGGGGGTAGGAGGTTGGGGATTCCGGGGAAGATGAAGGGGATATGGGTTGGTTTTTTTTTTTAATTTTTAATTTTTTTTAATGTTTTTAAAAATTTTATATTAACTTTTCTTTAAATAATTATTTTAAATTTTTTATTAAGTTTTTAGCCACGTGGCATAAATGTGGCAGCCATGTCAGCACAAATAGAGACCATATATTTGCCACGTCATCACTTAACGGTTTACTTAACAGAATTTCTAACTGAGGTATGAAATTGAAATAAAATGATAAGTAAATGTATGAAATTGAAATGTTTTAAAGATGTAAAAAATTGAAATCGACCTCAAACCTAAGGTGGTAAGATTGAATTATATATTAGAAAGTATACTTTTGGTTTCACTCCAACGATTAGTTTCGTTTTTCGCTCTTAGTTCCTTTCCAATAGCAGATTCTTTTGCCTCCATTTTTGTTAGTGATCAGTCTACATACGATTATAGAGTAGTGGATTCAAGTTTCTTCATAAGTTCTCTTTTGTTCGATTCATTTGAACCAAAACCTAGACCTTCTTTTATTGTTTCTTGTCTTCGTAGACAGGGTTGTGTTTACTTCTCTGATTCTTTCCTTTTCTCGGTTGTACTGCAGAAGCACAAATTGATCTTGGGAAGAATGTGATTGACAAAGAAGTGGTGGAGAAGGTTCGTTA